CTCATCAAACATTACATCCCACAGCATGGCTTCCCAGAAAAGATCAGGTCGAACAATGGGTCACACTTCAAGAACCAGAACCTCCAGTATGTGGAGGCCATGTTGGGACTCAAACATGGTTTTGGGTCCGTGTATCATCCTCAATCTCAGGGTAAGGTTGAGAGGATGAACCAGACAGTCAAGAACAGGCTGTCAAAGATTTGTGCCCATACAGGGCTGAACTGGGTGGATGCTCTACCGGATGCTCTACCGTTCGCCCTCATGTCCATCTGATCCTCAGTAAACAGGACAACTGGACACACTCCATTCGAGCTCAAACGTGGTCGACCTTTTCCAGGGCCAGGGCGAGCCCTGCAAAACACTGACCCTCCTCCCTCTCACGTGCACCAGAACGATTATTATGTACAACTGCAATCTGTTGTCTCTGAATTTGCTAAGCAGGTGCGAGACATCAAAGACAGCACCAAAGACGGTGACCTACCCATCACTGACTGGGTCCTCCTCCGGGTCATCAAGAGAAAGTGGAACGAGCCTAAGTGGACAGGACCATTCCGGGTGACCGAAAGAACCTCCCATGCAGTCCGGCTGGACGGGAAAGGAGACACCTGGTTCCACCTCACTCAGTGCGCCCCAGCGGTAACACCCCAACGCTCCCTGAAGGAAGTGCGGCAGGATCTTGCAGCGGCTGCAGCAGGAAACCAAACCAAAGAGCCACACACCTCCAGAAAAGACACAGGGCAGAATAATCCCTGCAACGAAAAGGGCACAGGGTAGTCTACCCCTGACCGCCTGAAGAAAGAAGACAACATCCCGCAGGACGTCGGCTGACAACTGCTCCAGTAGACAACGAAGCTATGCTGCCTGTCCAAGCGACCTCCACGGACTGATCATCTGTCAGGTTGTACAAGACAAGAAAATTTTTTACCTGTATGATTCACACTGTATGTTCCACACCCTTTTATTTCTGCATTTATCTGATTGTTAACTTGCATAGTACTGCTAGATTTTCTTCTGTGGGGTTGTATTTTGCAGAGACAAAATGAGGATCCCTCGTCCTAAATTTGGCTCATGGCCATGGTTGATTGCTTTAGCCTTATTTAACATAGGTTTGCTGCTTATAATTTTAGGGCTGACTAGGGAGTTCCCACAGTTGCCTGCAAATGCCACAAAACACGATGCAACATACCTCTCACGTCCCATTCGCAGTAAGGATGCTTATCTGTCCCGCCCATCAATCACTTACTTCAACGTATTCAAACCATTGAAACTTAAGGAGATTCCAGCTTATATTCAAGATTTTCCTAACATTCATACTTTCCGAGATATTCCAGGTTTTCCAACCAATCTTTCTCATTAGAAATGCATTATGGAATTTTCAAATTGGCCCTTTTCTCACATTTTCTTTACACAACTTCAAAAGTCTTCAACCCCTCTATACTTCCAGATTATGATCATTTTAATTTTCCAGTTTTAAATCATTTCATTCTTCATTCAGCATTCAATTTTTTTCAAACTAATTCCAACTCATTTAAACTGATTTAAACCTTTCTGAATCTTCAAATCTCATCTCTTTCACATATTTTTGAACTTAAGCCATTTACAATAGCAGCTTAGCGATGGCAATTTCAGCTGGAGCAATCCACCTCGCAATTTCTTCAGAAATTGCATTTTCTAGTTATTATTTATTTATTTATTTATTTATATATTTCATTTACAAAATGAGTTCCATTGTCACTAGTGCTGGGCGATATGGAAAAAAATGTATATCACGATATGGATCACTTTATATCACGATAACGATATATATCACGATATAGCTATGGTATGCTTTCAGTTCTATGAAAAATTTAAGTGTATACAGCTGCACTAGTACCAGTACAAGACCAGCACTTAAAACTAGAAAAATGAATAAATAAATACGTGGCTGAAGTGCGTTCATGTCTGTGCTCACCCAAAGTTATGCAACACTCACAGAAAACACCGATAGTGTGAGCCAAAGCACTCCATAATAATAATAATAATAATAATAATAATAATAATAATAATAATAAATTTAATTTGTAATGCACTTTACATATACAAAAAATCTCAAAGTGCTACAGTACACAGTAAAAAAAGAGCAGCAACAATAAAAAAAGCAATAGAATGACAGTCACAGATTGGCATAAAAAAAAGAATTAAAAAAATAAAAAATATAGAGTTGCAATGTAAGAGGCAAGGTAGTAAAAGCATAAAGCATAGAGGAAAACTAACCAAGGCTTTATTAAAAAGGTAGGTCTTTGAAGAGGTTGTTCACACTGCTAGATGTTTCTCCTCCAAAGCTGCTCTCTGCCTCCATCATTGTTTACTTTACTCTTGAAGCACGTAGGAAGACCCGAGCATGAATCCGAGTGCTTTATTCGCCTATCAGGAGCAGACAGGTAAGGTGATTTGATTCGCCACGACTCCAGAAATGATTGAAAAACTACAGAATGTCACAAAATTACGTTTCCTCGCTGCTGGCTTGAAGGGTAGAAATGCGCAGCCGCGCTCCCAGCTGACAGGAAGTCAAACCACTGTTGTAGTTCTTTTGTGTTGCTAGCGCGGTCAAGAGTGTTGGCTCTCACTGAGAGATGACTACAAAAATGGACGCACCTGTTCATCTGGTTGTTAAACACGGCTGAAAATGATCATCTTTTAATGTTGTTCCCGCTCATGCCCACTCCCGTGGGATTCCCGCGGGAATCACGTGACCCACGGGAATTCCCGAAAAATGTCATCCTCTACAGGGAAGGTCCCGGAGCAGATGAAACAGGTGCCGGAGCGGCTGAAATAGGTCCCGGATCCGATCAAAAGAGGTCCCGGATCGCGCTCCGACTTGTTCCGGCACAAATTAAGCACTGCTTACAATGATCCCCTCACGTGTGTTACCCAGGTAACCCGCAACGGCGGGAGACGCTGGACACGAAGAGGGCACGTAAAGCGGCGTCATGTCGCAAAATCGAAAGAGAAATGCGAGCCTACATGTCAACGCATCCTTTTCTTTGTAAGAAAATATTGTTTTCTTTCCCGTTTGACACCAAATACACTTACTGAATGTGTAATTATTGTTGTTGTTACTATGAATCATCTGATGGCACAAGCCCTATGGATAAAATACAGCCTATCGCCCGAAACGATAAAAATAAAAATGGCACGATAGACATTTTCTATCGTGCCCACGATATCTATCGTCCTATCGCCCAGCACTAATTGTCACTGTAGATTCGTTTTGGAATGCCAAATCAAGGAATTATTTCTCTACACAGGATTTTTGCTACTGTTAATGCATCTGGGTGGGTGACAGGAAATAATTCTATCCATTTAGTGAAAGGATCTATTAACACTGAACAGTATTTCTTTCCCTCACACTGATTTAATTCTATGAAGTCCATGTGGTGGCTCCAAAAGAAGCATTGGTTGGTGGAAATTGGCCTCTTTTTGGTTTTATACTGTCTTGAGCATTATGTCTAGCACAAAATGAACAAATCAAACAAATTTTTTTTTGAATAATTTACGAATCAATAGGGGGTAAAGTGTTGATTAACTACTACACTCATCCCTCTTGTCGAGACATGGCAAGGCCCATGACTCGCTATTACTACCTCTAAAGCTCTGTTTGCTGATCTGACAAAAATCTTTTGTTTGGAAACCTAATCTGTGGTAGTTTATGTCTAAGAACTGTTTTTTTGCACCGGAGTCACACAAAAAGGTTACAGGTAAACCATGAATCATTAACTATATCTGCGGTTTTGTGTCTGCATAATGTATTCCTTTTCCAACAGACTGTTGCAGCTCCGCTGTCGAAGGGACAGATAAAGGAAATCTTTCCTGCCACAAGCTATTGCACTGTTCAATAACTCACATATGTCAGACAGGGACTCACACCTGTCTGCTGTATAGTCCATTTTTAAAACTCCTACCACATCACATTACCGAGCACCTTAAATTGTCTGTATATCTATCATCCCATCTGTAATATTTCACACTTCATATTTATTACTCATTTCATATTTATTACTCATTTCAATAGCCCATGTTCTTCATATCTCAGTTTTATCTCTTAGGATGTTTAGCATATTTAGCCTATATTTATGTATATACTTAGTATTTTTAGTCTGCATTGTACTTGCTTCTTCTTATATTTGAATTTTATTTTGTATTTTGTTTTTGCTGCTGTAACAAGAGTATTTCCCAGTTTGGGATCAATAAAGTCTATCTATCTATCTATCTATCTATCTATCTATCTATCTATCTATATATATATATATATATATATATATATATATATATATATATACACTGTGTGCACAATTATTAGGCAAGTGAGTATTTTGATCATATCATCATTTTTATGCATATTTTCCAACTCCAAGCTGTATAAACTTGAATGCTTATTGGATATAAGCATATCAGGTAATATGTATTTGTGTAATGAGGGAGGCTGGGGCCTAAGGAGATCAACACCCTATATCAAGGTGTGCATAATTATTAGGCAGCTTCTTTTCCTCAGGTAAAATAGGCCAAAAAAGAGATTTAAGTGACTCTGAAAAGTAAAAAAATGTAAAAAGTCTTTCAGAGGGATGCAGCACTCTTGAAATTACTTAGATATTTGGGCGTGATCACAGAATCAGCAAACATTTTGATGCAAATAGTCAACAGGGTCGCAAGAAATGTGTTAAGAAAAAAAGACGCAAATTAACTGCCAAAGATTTGAGAAGACTAAAACGTAAAGGTACCAGGAACCGCTTATCCTCCGGTGCTGTCACATTCCAGAACTGCAACCTACCTGGAGTGCCCAGAAGTACAAGGTGTTCAGTGCTTAGAGATATGGCCAAAGTAAGGAAGGCTGAAATCTGACCACCACTGAACAAGACACAAGTTGAAACGTCAAGACTGGGCCAAGAAATATCCGAAGAGAGATTTTTCAAAGGTTTTATGGACTGATGGGACGAGAGTGACTCTTGACGGACCAGATGGATGGGCCCGTGGCTGGATCAGTAATGGGCACAGAGCTCCACTTCGAATCAGACACCAGCAAGGTGGAGGCGGGGTACTGGTATGGGCTGGTATTATTAAAGATGAGCTAGCTGGACCTTTTTGGGTTAAAGATGGACTTAAAATCAACTCCCAAATCCAATGCTAGTTTTTAGAAGACACTTTCTTCAAGCAGTGGTACAGGCAAAAGTCTGCATCTTTCAAGAAAACCATGATTTTTATGCAGGACAATGCTCCATTGCATGCAACAAAGTACTCCACTATGTGGCTCGCCAGTAAAGGCCTTAAAAACAAAAGAATAATGATGTGGCCTCCTTCTTCACCTGACCTAAACCCTGTTGAGAACTTGTGAGCCCTTCTTAAACGGGAAATTTACAGTGAAGGAAGACAGTACACCTCTCTGAACAGTGTCTGGAACAGTGTCTGGAAGGCTTTGGTTACTGCAACACAAAAAGTTGATCGTCAACAGATCAAGAAACTGAAAGACTCCATGAATGGAAGGCTTATGACTGTTAATGAAAAGAAGGGTGGCTATATTGGTCACAGATTTTTTTTTTTTAATTTCAACAATTTTTATTTGTAAATTGAGTTGTTTGTTTATCATTCTCACTTTAACAAGTGAAAATAAACAAGTGAGATGGAAAATTTTTCATTTTTAATTTAGTTGCATAATAATTCTACACACTAATAGCTGTCCCCAATAATTATGCACACATAGATATTCTCCTAAGGAAGTCAAAATCTCACTTTTACTCCCTTAAATATTAAGGTTTGAGGTTTATTAACATTTTGGATTGAGCGAGAGCACTGCAGTTGTTCAAAAATAAAATTTATCCTCAAAAATACAACTTGCCTAATAATTGTGCACACAGTGTATATTTATCTCCTCCAAGTTTAGCACTTCTTCCTCCTCTGTCTCTTCTCTGTTCACACTTTCTCTTCATTTCTGTTGAATAACACTTGCTATCTCTCCCTCTTCTAGTCATGCTTGATACTTTTTTCTACAGCTCTTCACCTAGTGACCAAAAGCTCTGCAATTCTCTGATGTTGTGGTTCATGACCTTGGTCAGGGTACTGTTCTTCACCTCTCTGCTCTTGTGATTCATAACCTTTGACAAAACTTCTACTTCCTCTTTCGTTTTCTCTATTGAAATTCCTGCCTCTGAACCTGCTTCTTCCTCGCTCTCCCTGTCATAGTCATCAAATGGTTTATCATCTCTCCTATTATCCCATAGTTGTCCTATTTATCTCATGTAGTATGAAATTCATTGTCACATTTGGAGTTGATCTTACGTTAAATGGTATTATAGGGAGGGCTTTAATTCCAAGTTAGCTTTGGTGTTCTCTGCACTTTAGTATGGTTACTTCTTTAAGTTCCAATAAGGTATAATACCAATCAGTTGGTTCAAATGTTTAACAGGGATGCCAGCTGAGGTCAGAAAACCTCTTCTTCTCCAGCGACACGTCTACATGTACAACTTACACTTCATAGACTGTAACAGTTTATTCACAGTTTTGTCTTTTGAAAGCTACATGCTTCTGCATAGGGTGGGATTCTTTGGCTGCTGTGTCTCTGGAGGAGTCAAGGTCGTAACTGGCATTTGATGTATCATTTTATCATTTGTGCAGAGAACAGAGACTGTACAGAGAATTTAAATTGCTAAAAATTTGCAGTATGCTAAAACCCTTTCTGCCTTTTTCACTGCCTTTTCTACCTTTATTTTAGCATTATTATCAGTATTATTATTATTATCATTATTATTATTAAAGTTGTCTTTACTTATAGCCTTTTTGCTTACGGAGACATGTAGTTTATTTAATTGGCTTGTTCTTAGGCTGCTGTCAAACCCAAATTTGATTACCCATAATTCGAGAAATTGTAACTTTTCGGACTTTTTCTCAAAGATTCTCCAATCTTGACATCTTAATTCTTCTAATTTAGCCTTACTGGCTTCCGTCCCCATTTTTATGTGTTTTGGTCCAGCTTAGGTGACACCTAGGGTGTCCTATTAAGCTGGGTTCTTTCAATGGGGTAGTGATAAAAATTCCTTATGTGGTAATTCTCGCTTCTACTCTTGCGAGTGGAGAATTCTTGCCTTTGCCTCCACAATAAGGTCACTACTTACAATCCCACTGTTTTAGTATGAATAGGATATATCTGGTGATATATCTCTATTCCATTCACTCTCACACTTTCACAATCACACTTTTAACACGTGTTAACAACGGCTTTCTTAGGACCCGCTCGTCCTTTGCAACAGATTTCTTAGGACCTGCTCATCCTTTTAACAACGGCTTTCTTAGGACCTGCTCGTCCTTTAACAACGGCTTTAAGTAGGACCCGCTTGTCCTTTTAAAACGGCTTTAAGTAGGACCCTGCTCGTCCTTTAACAACGGCTTTAAGTAGGACCCGCTCGTCCTTTAACAACGGCTTTAAGTAGGACCCGCTCGTCCTTTAACAACGGCTTTAAGTAGGACTCCGCAGTCCTTTCGCGGAATTTAAACTATGTTTAGTAGGACTCTGCAGTCCTTTAGCGGAATTTAAATTTTTTCTAGTAGGACTCTGCAGTCCTTTCGCGGAATTTAAACTATTTCTAGTAGGACTCCACAGTCCTTTCGTGGAATTTAAACTATGTCTAGTAGGACTCCGCCATCCTTTTAACAATGGATTTCTTAGGACCCACTCGTCCTTTTAACAACGGATTTCTTAGGACCCGCTCATCCTTTATTACGGCTTTAAGTAGGACCCGCTTGTCCTTTTTGTTTTTTTATAGATTCTCTACGCGGAGCGGATCTCAATCATTCCACGTTTCTTTTTATAAAAGACCAACTCACCACTTGTCTTTCCCCTTTTCTTCGGATTTCCGTCAACCGTCGGATCCCAGCAGGCGGGTCGAGTCCAGTTCCTCAAAGAGGTCTTTAAGACTTAACCTAGAGAGCCTGCCGTGGCCATGGTCTTATCTGTCGTCCACCTCACCTGCTGGAATCGTCAGGTCTATTGGAATCCGGCTCGAAGGACCAAAGAAATGTTGGGTCTAAACCTGCCCAAATGACTGAAAACACATAAAGAAGAGAAAGACAATGGTTTAGATTTTTACTCGAGGAGAATATACAGAGATAGTTTCAGTTACAATCTCAAAACCATTCTGAAGGTATTTCTGTCCAGTCTCTTTTATTTAGGGTTGTCCCTGGTTACACAATGTTACTAAAGGATGGGGGAAAACTATCTGCTGCAACGTAAGCACTCTCATAAAGCATAATTATGAACAACAGATAATATGTGAGGGTCAAGGCAACATTGTTGACATTAAACGAGCTCCTTCTGATAGGAGCGGATCCTCCTTATTACTTCCCACGATTCACAGTGGAGGTTACATCACACACATACCTGCTGATAGGAGAAACAAGGTCAGAGAAGTTAAGAAACACTCATGTGCTGTGTAATAAAGCTATTGGAGAGAGAAGTTAAAAAACACTCTTATATGATGTGTAACAAGAGGTTAAAACAGTTCAAACTTGTCGCAAACTCATACATAAGAATTTGAGTGAGATGATAACTTCAATATACATTTATACACATTATTCTGACACCCGACTTACGCTGCAGGGAGAAGCTGAGTTAGGGAGGGGGGGAACGCCTCTTCGGCACGGCGGACCTGATTTACGCCGTGCATGTGCTGCGTCGCTGCGAGGCACGGAAATAGAAAATTAGTCTTCTTAATGAGTGGGATTGCAAAGCATTTCCACTATATGTTATTCATATCTTTATTATTGAGTGGGATTGCGAAGCATTCCCACTATATGTTATTCATATCTTTATTATTGAGTGGGAATGCTTCGCAATCCCACTAAATAATAATAATAATAATAAAGAAATGAATAACATATAGTGGGAATGCTTCGCAATCCCACTCAACAATAAAGATATGAATAACATATAGTGGGAATGCTTTGCAATCCCACTCATTAAGAAGACTAATAATAAAAAAGATGTGAATAACATATAGTGGGATTGCGAAGCATTCTTACTCAATAATAAAGATATGAATAACATAGTGGGAATGCTTCGCAATCCCACTCAATAATAAAGATATGAATAACATATTGTGGAAATGCTTTGCAGTCCCACTCATTAAGAAGACTAATTTTAACTCAATGATAATAATAAAGATATGAATAACATATCGTGGGAATGCTTCGCAATCCCACTCAATAGTAAAGAAACAGGAGAATAAAAATAAGTGGAAATGCTTAATCAGCATTTCCACTTAATAATAAACAAAATGGCCGACAGGAATAACACTAATAATAAAAATAACAGTTACAATTAATAAAGATATGAATAACATATAACATATAGTGGGAATGCTCAATTAGCTCCAAGTTTGAGGAGGCAGAGGACTAGACACTAGACACGAGTGTTGAGATGGCTTTCTGTCATGATAGCATGTACTGAGTCGGGGCGAGTACCAGATAAGCACATGGAACTATGGTAACAACCGTTGGCTTACGTTAGCACAGATGAAAGTTAAAACAAAGACGTTTAGCAAACTGTTAAAGCACACAAAACATTGTCATATCAGAAATCTGATGCTATGACTCTTCACAAGTTGTCCTTCAGGTTGTTATCTTTGTAATGTGTGCGTAAACGATCATAAACAATCAGCCGATCGGCCATGTTGGATATACCGGTGAATCTGACGTCGCAACAACATGCAATCTGATTGGTCAGAAGTGGCCACACTGTATGCGAAACTTTAGAAAAATTGACCATGATCCAAAAAAATAAATACTGCAATATTACAGAACGGGAAAACATTGCTGATGTGAAAGCTTGTATAGACAGGACACGGGTTAGAAAAAAAATATTGACATCCGAAATAATCGCACGACAAAAACGGTCCCGGTTTGTAAGGACTGTTAGTTATCTATAAAATTCCAAAGGCAGCCCAAAAATGTATTTTAATGAGTAAATTATGAAATAGGAAAATATCATTTAAAATATGTGAATCCGTTTACGGTATAAGAAGCAGTAGATGTACGTTTTTTTAAATTGTCTTTACCTGATAACTTACCAAACAGGTCACCCAGGTTACTATTTGGGTCAGTTAATGCCCTTCCTTTGGGCAAAAGCACAGTCATTAGTAAGAATAGAAGAATAGAATATTCCTTTATTGATCCCCCATGGGGAACATTTTTTTGTCACAGCAGCATCACAGCCAAAGAGTGCAGAAATGCAGTTATAAAAATAAAGATCCTAATATTAAGAACTTAAATAAATGTAATAATTAAGAAAAAATGTAGAAAAAGGAAAAAGGGAGAAGAAAAATGAAACTATCTATAATATTCACAATTTACACATACACAAAAAGTGGTGGTGTGTGTCCAGTTATTATTATAGTTCGTTGTAAAGTCTTATTGCAGAGGGGAGGAATGACCAGCGGTAGCGCTCAGTCTTGCAAGGTGGAAGTCTCAGTCTGCTGCTGAAGGAGCTGCTTAAAGCCCCCACAGTCTGGTGCAGTGGGTGAGAGGGATTGTCCATGATGGATACAAGCTTTGCTAACATCCTCCTCTCACCCACCTCCTCCAGGGAGTCCAAAGAACAGTCCAGGACAGAACTGGCCCTCCTGACCAGTCTATTAAGTCTCTTCCTGTCCCTCTCGGTGCTCCCTGCCCCCCAGCAGACCACTGCATAGAAAAGTGCAGATGCTACCACAGAGTCATAGAAAGTCCTGAGCAGAGTCCTGCACACTCCAAAGGACCTCAGTCTCCTCAGCAGGTGGAGACGACTTTGGCCCTTCTTGTACAGGACGTCTGTGTTTGTTGACCAGTCCAGTTTATTGTTGAGGTGGACACCCAGGAATCTGTAGGACTCCACCATCTCGATGTCCAGACCCTGGATGTTTACTACACACAAGACACAGAGAAACAATAATTATTTAACATTCAAAAAGATTCAGCTAAAATTATTGTAGTTTAAAAACACTTAAAAGGCGAAACAGTGCAGTCACTCTGCCTTTACTGGTGCCTTTTAGAAATATAGGCCCTCATTTATCAAGCTTGCGTACGGCAGAAAACGTGCGTACACCTTTTGTATGACAATTTTGATGTGAGGATCGGCATTTATCAATTTGCATGTTAGCATACGCTACGACCAAATCTTACGACAGGTCTGACATCGTGTACGCAAGTTTGAGTCAGTGTGGATCTGTGGTGCAGCAAATGTCTGTCTGAAAATAATTGATAAACAAACCTCAAACCTGTCATTAAGCACAATCAGCCAGAGTTCATTAAAGATTAAGACGTAGATAAAATAAAATAAAATAAATTTGTTATGTTCTTGGTGAATAGGCCTATTCGATAACTCTGCCCAGAAACACTGCCACAGAGCAGGAGTGCTGTTTTAACATTGCACGCACACGCGCTACTGTGGAGCGCTGCATTTGACTCCTAAAAGGCAGGTGTCTCTGTCTTGGTCCAGCAGCAGGGACGTTGTTGTGCACTCCTGAAAGGGTGTGAGACATCATTTCGGTTAGTACAGTTTTGCACAATGTTGCTCTGGCGAATGGAGTGCCGTTGGCTGTGCCAGGACCCAATGCCCGGAGAACAATAACGAGGAGAGACTCCACAAAGGTGCTGCACAGAGGAGACAGGACCTTATCCATGGATTCTGATGTGAAGTATAAGTTTAGAAAGTGCTCTTGCTATTAAATCAGTAATAAAAATCCAATAGAAATCCATAAAAATGTGCCTCAGGGGCAGCAACACACAGTTTAGTGATGTCAATAATTACTTTTGTTCAGCCTCTGTCAGACTCTCCGGTCTGCTCTACATTACAGACGCAACAAATTAAAACTAAATACTTTGAATAATAGGAGCAACGTACCCTATGTCATACCAATAAAAAATATGAGGCATTTATAAGATAATTTATCATCAATAGCAACTTATTGACTAATGATTTATTCAAACTTCAGCCACTGTCCGCTATTCCGCGGCAGTGCTGTTCAGCGCCACCATAATCCTGCTCCAGACAGGAGTTTTCTGGACTGCTTTTATACCAGTTTTGATGCTTCCAAAGAGCAAATCCTTGTTAGTTTCCACCACAGATGTGAGGATATCCACTTTCAGCTCAGAAAAGTTTGGAATCTTTCTAATATTTCTCCTCTTTCATGTTTGACCTCAGTGGGCGAGGCTTCTGAACCACAAATATTTAAGGGTGTAAACATGTTAATGACGATTGTACATAAGCTGGGATTGGTCAGATACGAACCCTTACATAAATCTTACATGTGTCCTTTTGTAGGATGAATCCTGCGCTCAGATCTGCGCTCAGGTCCACGCAAGATTGATAAATGAGGGCCATACTGTTTAGGCGCTTGTTTTCTGTACAGACACCCCATCTGCCATCTTATAGTGGCTGTTGTGACCATGGACTGCATGGTTGTGACTATGGTTGTTACCATAGAATATATGGTCAACTTGGTTCTGCCTCCCTCCTGTATACAGATTCGAAGCCAAAAAGCCCTTGGTATTTCCGGGATTTTTATTCATTTCCTGAAACCAGCGTTGCGCAGTTGCGTTGTACGCATTCGGCGGGAGAGTCGCAGAGAGTTGCTGTGATGACGCTCGGCTCAAACAGCGTATCCCCGAGGTGAGCTATGCAATCCCCGAACACCAATAGGCTGTATCAGGTGTCAATCAAAGAAAACATAAACCCTCTAATGACTTTTAAAAATGGAGCTTCACAGAAAAAAGAGGACTTGAGCACAAACCAGTCTTACTGTAACTACATGTCAACACCGCAAGCAGGGGTAAGAAAAATTTATGTTCTGCGTAATAAATTTCTCAAATTTGTCCACAGCTCCATAAGCTTTGCTGGCGGAGGCGGGATTTATGACCTATACTGCAGCCCATCAAAAGAGGGTGCTGCTCTCGGAGTGGCCTCACCCAGCAAGGAGGCAGACGCTGTTCACTCTATAAACAGTCTATGGTTGTGAGTGAGACTTGTGCGATAAACCAAGCCTCCTCTTTCCAGGCGCTCGAATGTGCTGTGTGGGCGTTTCTGAGTAACCGCTTGCAGATTTTTTCGTTCCCATTGGTTAACAACAAACGGGGCCGGTGTGAACAGGGGTGAAGGGAGGTGGGGAGGCGGGGGCTGTGGCCAAACCCACCACGACCCAGACAAGCACCAGGAGGCAGACAGAAAGAAGGAGAGAGGAGGGAGGAGAGCCGCAGCCCACAACAGCAGCAGCAGCGTTGCAGCCCCGCTTTCAGCCTGCATGGGCTAAGCAGCTAGTTAGCTTTTAGCATCGTCCAACGTTACAACCCCCTTTCAACCGCCGGGTTGCTATCTCCGTGGTTTCCTACCCGTCTTTTCTCTAACTAGCCCTGTCGTCCTCACCGCCCAGCGTCGAGATGATGAAGTTTAGGTTTCGTCGGCAGGGCACGGACCCGCAGAGGGAGAAGATAAAACAAGAGCTTTTCGCCTTTAACAAGGTAAGGTAATGGTCCGGGGGTGGGTGGTGGTGGTGTTGTTTAGGGGGGAGTTGGGGCGCGCTCCCTCCGCTCCCCAAAACTATCTCAAGACGGGACCTAGTTTTTGGTCGAGCACTCTGCAGCATTTTGCCCTGCGCCTCTTCCCCACCTCGGCCGCTCATGTGTGTCGCTGTTTCTCTCGAAGATAGAAACAGACATTTGGTTCAAAGTCCAGCTGATGGACGGTCCTGGACCCGCCCGTTCAGGCGTGTGTGATCTTTGGTTTTAACCTAAACCAGGCCCGCGAGAAATAAATGCAAATTTGGGCTCCTACTGGATTAGCCTAAACTCACAGATTGGCTGTAAATAGCCAGACTACAACAGTGATGGGGATTATCAGGCTTTAGATTTACATGATGAATTCGTTTTCAAAGCACTTTGAAGTTTTATTCAGTGTTATTGCCCTACCTGTGCTGCTCACAGTTGTAGACCTAAACGGTTGTACAGGTGTTGTAGCATCACAATGACGAAAATAGAAAAGGGCGAAAATTTTAAAAAAAATTTTAACAGGTGAAACAGGAGTAAAAGAAACCACAGATGAAGATACACATATTGATGCTGGATATTGGACATATGTTTTTATTTAATGTCACTTCAAAGAAATCTAGTAACACTACATTCTTCAAATCACTTAAAGACCCACTCCAATGAAAATCATGTTTTTCTTCTTTTTATGGACGTTCATATGGCATTTTTCTGATGCTACAGGACATAGCATGAGAATACTAAATGCTAAATTGCTTTTCTGACTATTTCTACATTCAAATTGCTGTGAATCTCTGCCAGACCCAAACGGCAGGTTTAGAATCAGTGAGAGTTTGTGTGTCACATCTCCAAGCTCCACCCCCAGAGCCCCGCTATGCAGGCGACACTTTGCATATAGAGAAAAAACACATAGGACGATCGTGGAACAAGCGTGTGTGTTATCAGAGTGCAATGCTCCTAAGAAAGCTAATTCTGATCTTAGCTTTCTTAGGACATTCTCCTCCTGCTCTGCTCTCTCCTCTTCCTGCCCTTCTCCCTGCTCTCCTCTCTCCTCCTTTAGCTCCTCTCCCTGCTCTCCTCTTCCCGCTCTTCTTGTTCTCCTCACTCCTCCATCAGCTTTTCTACCTGCTTTCCTCTCTCCTTCTCCTGCTCCTCTTCCTGCTCTTCTCCCTGTTCTCTGCTTCCTACTCCTGGTCCTCTCACTGCTCTGCTTTCTCCTCCTTCTGTTCTCCTCACTCCCCCTCTTGCTCCTCTCCCTGCTCTCTACTCAACTCCTGCTGCTCTTCCTGTTCTCCTCTCCTCCTCCGGCTCGTCTCCCTGCTCTCTACTCTCCTCTTTTTGCTTCTCTTAACTAGCCACCACCTTTTCTGTTATAAAGTGGTCTTTTTTTGAGTATTTTAAATTTTACTTTGCATAAAAGTATTTATAACACTTTTATCACAAATAAAATTCAGTGCATAATTTAATGCAGAGGTTGCACATTTCACGTTTTTTGTGCCAATATTCAAATATTGTCTGAATATTGTGTCTGAAGTCCATGAACTGTTGGCTGCACTTTTAAAACACACACACACATCAGATCAGACTGGTACTACAGAAAAAAAGGAGTAAATATTGGACTTCATATCTTTGCTCCAAGCTAATTAATCTCCCTCCAGATTCTACAACACAGAGGCTACTCAGGGGTCTTTAAAGCCCCCCTTGACCTCTTTGAAGCAGGGTATTGTATCTATCTGCAGATTGTAAAGTTCTGTTTTAACCCTGTCTCTCTGTAGATTTGAATGATTTCCCTGCTGTCTCCTCTTCTTCTGATATGGGCAGAGGAAAAATCAGTGAGTTTAGGCTAATCCATTTAACCAAGTCTGCACAGAGTAGTAATAAAACATGGCCTCTGCTGTCAGAGCTTTTAAAAAAGATTTTTCCTTTAACGTTATAAGGGGTCCTTGGGATGCCTTTGCCAACAGTGTAGTCTGTCAAACACACACATAGAATTGTGTGTGTGTGTGTTTGAATAGAGAAGGTTTGGGTGAAAAAAAATAAGCTAAAAAAAGAAGTGAATTAAATCTCTGTGTTGATGTTTTATTTATTTATTTATTTGTGTGATAATTTTCTCTTTTCTGTCTCAGACTGTGGAACATGGGTTCCCCCACCAGCCCAGTGCTTTGGCCTTTGACCCCAAGCTGCAGCTTATGGCCATTGGGACAAAGTCAGGAGCCATCAAAGTGTATCCTTTTATCAGCATGCTACAGATTTAATTATTTATTTTTACTAAATAATGTGGCTGAAGGGGAAAAAAAAAACTTGTCAAAGAAAGGTTCCGACATCTGCTCTTGAGGTACAGTAACCAATTTTTTTCTTTGCGTCTAGCCTCCCCTGCAGAAGGTTAACTGCGAGCAGAAATGTATCATGCCATGCTCTTTAATGAAAGAGTTTGTGTCTTGTGCAGGCTGTGCTAATTTTTTGAACTGGTGTCATATCTGCTGTTTGGTCCAGTGCTGTTTTTCTTGCTGACATGACTTGGGGTGGCAGTATCTGCAAGGTTGGTGATTTGATTCTGCCCTGTCTCTCATCTATCCGTTGTGTCGTTGGGCAAGACACTTAACCTACCTTGCTTCCAGTATATGTCCTCCACTGGTGTATGCTTGTGATTGATGTTTGGTGGTGGTAGGCGAGGCCATCTAAGGTAGTTTATGGATCTAAACTAAGGTAGTTTACCATGACCAGGGTGTGACTGTGAGAGCGAATGAATGATGTCTCCAATGTAAAGCTCTTTTAGCGTCTCTGATAAAAAGCGCCCTGTAAAATCTGATGCATAATAATAATATTTATAATTACATGATCACTCACAGCTCTTCAGAAATGTTAAGACAGTGATCAGATGATCTGCAGCAGGGCTGTTTATATAACCTGAATTCTGTGTAGCAGAGTATTGCAGTGATGGGAAGAACAGTGCACAAGAGCATCTGCCATATACTGTATGTAGTGATTAGAGCTGGATGATTAATTGAATTTTAATCATGATTTCGATTTTGGCTTCTCACAATCATTAACCAGCTGTGTCACAGAGCCTAAGTGTGCTGGGTCCAAGTTGCAGCAAAGTTATTTCAAAAATAAATACTCATTTTTAAGATGTGCTGGCTTTTATTTGGCTGTGGCGCTGTGCCATAATCAATTGCATATATGGGAAACCCTAAAGTTGGTCGGATTGCCTTGGGGAGCAGATACAACAGCGTGACAGACTTTTCAAACAATTTCCTTTTGCTCGACATCCGTCAACTTGAAGCCAAAGTGTTTCCAGATTACTTATCCTACCTTTTTTCCCAACCAAAGGCTGCCTTTCTGCCATGTTTTCAATTGCTCGCTCCTCATATTATTGATCACACGCTTGCTGCAGCTTCACATAACATGGGTGCATTAAACGTGTTTTCCCAGCACAGGAACTAAGGCTGCACGATATTTGAAAAAACTAACATTGCGATTTTTTTCAACCCTGCGATATTAAAAATATAGGAATTTTCACCAGATGACCTGAATAGCATTTAATGTTATGCTGCACCGCTGAAGTCTTGAGGACGGTTAACCTGCTCTGATCTTACCTCTTTTTGTGAATGTTAGTAGAATGGCTTCTGTCTGTCTCAAAGATATTTTTAGCTTTTATTGTGCTGGGACGTTATTGTGGCGACAGATGAACACAGAACACGTGTTTTGGTCGCCATCATCCTTCTTTTAACCGAAATTATTCCAGATAACTGACTTTCCTTTTCTTTTTTGGCAACAAATCTTCATTTTCGGTGGTTTTCTCTTGTTCGTTGCTCATTTTGCAACCGTTGTTGTTGTTGTTGGTGGTGTTGTGCCGAGAAACGTATGTCCTCTGAGAATTGCATGCACCTCGCAAAACGCGCACTGCTTATAGTAGAGTGGTCCACGGAAATGTACATTTTAAAACCCATACAGTTCATAATTTGATTTGTGTCAAAAATTCCGGCAGTTTGTGGAGAACCATGAACTGTCCCCATGACACAACTCTGCATTGTGTTATTGATTGCACTTCCTGTCTATAGCTGCCCTTCTCCTGAGGTTTTGGTAGTTTGAAGCAGAGAAACTTCAGTCTACTGCTTTGTTGTTTTAGGTTGAGTGTTGTCGTTTCCCTAATGTGTTTCCTATTTGTCTCAC